AAGGGCCCTGGAAGACTGAACCCCTTCCAGGCATCTAACTGCAAGCCGGACGACTTGTCGCGGTTAATCTTGGCCCATGTCACATTTTCGTACCGATCAAGCGCCTTCAGTACCGCCTCAATGTCGATACGGGACGACACGAAAACAGATACTTCATCGGCTTACGCGGAAACCCTGGCTCGAGCCCCTCAAATAACGGAGATTCCACGTAGGGCCGGCCTGCACGCCCTGTCCCTCAGCCGGCGAAGGAGAGGCTGCAACGCCAAAGCATAATGTAGGGGTGACAGTGGACAACCCTGACGAACCGACTTAGTGTAAAAGCGCCCGACAGCTTCCCGTTCACCCGTACCTCGGCACTGGGGGAGCGATACAAAAGACTTATCCAGCGGCAGAAGTCGAGTGCAAATCCGGCGGTCTGCAGGACAGCCGCAAAGTAGCGATGGTCAACCCTATCAAATGCCTTGACTGATTGATCTAAATTGATTAGCGCGGCCTCATCGTTGTCTTTTACACACTCTATGATCGTGGGGATCAGATGCAGGTTGCTCTGAATTGTTCGGCCCCTCACAGAACAAGTCTGCTCAGGACCCAACAGAGACTCAGCAACTGACTGCAAACGATCCTGCAGGATCTTAGCTAAAATATTTAACTCTGTGTTTAGCAGAGTTATGGGCCTGTAATCATCTAGTTTCCCACCAACACCCTTGCCCTTTTCCAACAGCGTGATCACACCTCTGGAGAACCGGTCGGGGAGAGACCCTTGCCAGAACCAGTTGCTGAACACGACAGTCAAAATCGGGACAAGCATGTGCGACAAACTCAAGTACAATTCATGGGGCAAACCATCCAGACCGGGCGACTTGCCTCTACCGACCTTCTTCAATGACGCGTAGACTTCACCTTCCGTGATCTCTTCCTCGCAGCTTCAGTCGGCGAAAGTCGAGGAACGTCAGCCAAATATCTGCGAAATTCGTCCTCACGAAGACCAGGCTCCTTGGTAAACCGGTTCTCGAAATGCCGCCGAAACGCCTCGCACATGTCGTCAGTGGCCCGAAGAGTACGCCCTCCTGGGTTTTGACCTCACGAATGTACCGACCAGAACCTCGACGGACCACTTCCTTGCGCAATTCTGCGCCCATGTTCACCGTTTCGGAAAACATCTTGCTTAACCTGTCTAATTACCTGACCCATGTAGCGCTCGCTATTCAAACGCTCCACGGCCTCCCTAGCTAAGGCTATCTCTAGGGGATCCTCCAGCCACCACCCGGGGAAAGACTAGTCTTAAGCGTCTTCACCTTCTCAGCTCTATCTAGGGCGAGCCGTTTGCTGAAATCCGTGGTGAAGGACCTAATCCTACACTTAAGTCTACCCCACCACTTATTCCCGAGAACCGCCCCCACTAGCTCCCGCTGCGCTAAACTAAACTAATTGGCGAAGAGAGTCTTAGGTATATCCTGTGCACACTATATATATATATATATTTACTGGTATAGTTAGTCTACAATCGGCAATAGGGAGACATTTCATTACAACAAAAAATAATAGTATGTTTGATAAGTTCGATAAGATCAAATTGGCAGCTGTTCTCTCAAACGAACTACAATCTGTGTTAACAAGGGAAGGAAAACCCAAACTGCTCGCTGTTAATAACTTGACATATCCTTTTCTACTTTCTATCAGCATGGCTGATGCTAACCTCCAGGAGAATGATTTTGTGTTTTCACGATCTTACATTTTGCTCTGATATAAAGTGGAAATAACATATTGAATCAATTGCTATGTTTGCCGCTAGGAAAATTGGTTGACTGAGTGGTGCTAGACGACTTCTTCTCCAGAATCTGTCTTACAAATTTATGTCTAACATTCGTCAAAGCTTTGAATATTGTTTCCACGCACGGTTTGATGTTTCCGCTATACATTTAGAGATTCTTGGTAAAATCTAAAGAAAAAATTGCATTGTTATTGGTCATGGTAATTGTTCTGGTGAACTTTCCTCTATGGTACCTAAACTTTAGGAATTTAAGTACAGTACAAGATTGGCGGAAAGATCTCATCTTTTTACTGGTGAAATGGCTAAATATAACCGTACGCTCTCTGCTAAAAAATTCTTCTTTTACACTTCTTCTTTGTGGAACTCTCTTACGGCTTCTTGCTTCCCAGTCAATTTTGATCTTCAAAAATTTAAATGCAAAATCAATTGTTATCTTCTGTCTTCTTAATTCTTCTTCTTTTATTGTCCTCTCTCTTTAATAATAGTTTTTCTCATACAGGGTTACTCAGCTACTAATTGCGTCTTAATGGCTGTATTGTCTTGCATGGGATGGGATCATTTTTAAAAGGGTAGGCTTTTACAAGTGGAGTTACTAACACCATACCCATCCAATTTGAATTCAATGTTGTCTTTCTCCTAGACTAGAGAGCCAAGTATGTCTTGCTATTTGACTCGTTGTTGTGGTGAGAAGAGATGGATTAATTTTGTTTAATCAATTCACCCCAAGCAAGGAGATAATATCGCTAAAATCACAAGAGGCGCGACTGGGAGTGAACGTGAATTAAAAATCCATAGCTAGAACCGGAAGCCCAATCCTCAACCTGGTAAAAAGGGATAAACATCTGGAAATTGAACTCGATACACCAGCATCCCTTCATATGCGGATAACCGCAACGCTATATGGCATCAATACTCATTTTTGGTTTGATCTGACTCTTGCAAAATGGAGTGTGGCAGGTGAAGTGGTACAAAGAATTAACCATTTTCACAGACTCTTTTGTGGTTGACCGAGATCAACTTGAGGTCTGAGTGTAATTAAGTCTCATTACACTCTACGTAACTGTTTCAACGCCTTTGTCAAAACATATAAGAAAATAAAGTGCAAGAAAAATATGGCTTTCTGTCCATATCCGAGATGAGGAATTATGCTTACTTGCATTATTTACATTATTCGGACTGTTACCCTCATCTTCATTACCATATTCTCAACGTTTCGGCCGTGATACGCCACGGCCTTCTTCAGGTGATTGGCTCTCTGAGATGAGGTATTATCATTACTTGCATTATTTACATTATTCGGACTGTTATCCTCATCTTCATTATCATATTCACAACGTTTCAGCCGTTGCACCTTCTGGCCTTCTTCAGATGATTGGCTCTCTGAGATGAGGTATTATGATTATTTGCATTATTTACATTATTTGGACTGTTATCATCATCTTCAATACTATATTCACAACGTTTCGGCCGTTGTACGTTCCGGCCTTCTTCAGATGTTTGACTCTCTGAGATGAGGTATTATGATTACTTGCGTAATTTACATTATTCGGAATTTTACCTTCATCTTCATTACCATATTCATGACGTTTCAGCCGTTGTACGCTCCAGCCTTCTTCAGATGATGGTGCCATGTCATGCTCTGTGGGGAGCTCGAGTAAATACCGAGTTACCATTAGGTCATTTGCGAAGTGAACATTCGTGTAGCATTCTTTTTCATTACATACCTACGAGTTTGTCTTCCTTATTTATTTCCCTGTTATGTCGAAAACCCAAAATACAACACAGGGCCACCCAGACCCACGGTAGTATCTCCTGTTAGGGAACCAGCTATGAAAATATCGTGAACCCCCAAACTGGATTCAAAATATGAAAATATAAAAATACATTCGAAAAAATAACAGCAATACATTTTCATAGTAAAAAATAAAAATTAACACCATTAAATTTGGAAAAAATTAACCAAGGTTCACAAGAAAATAAAATTTTGGTATTAATTACCCATAAGGAGTAGATATGCTGTGAAACAAACCAAACGAAACTAAATTAAACTGCATCGATCTTCGAGAGGAAGTTTATCGGTTCACAAGGTTAGAGGTTAGAGTGGGCGAAGATGATCTTGAATACGTCGGAAAATGTCCTGGAATAATTACCTCTTGAAAATATATTTGAGCACTGTCGAGTGTTAAGCTAATTCTATAAACAACAGCCACCTGCGCGAAGGCAAAGCTCTTCAGTAAAATGAATTGGGCACTCCGGTAGATTGGCATTTGTTTTCATTTGTAAAAACAATACCCTAGATTTAGTTGTTTCTCTCTGTCGAATGAAGATAGCTTAGTGGTAGAAACATTGACTGATCAGTTGGGTTTCGATCCGGGCTTCAAGTATTCAGATGTCTAGTCGCACTGAGGAGCTGTGATACAGCGAAACAGTACTGTCTGCGAATGACATAATATATATATATATATATATATATGTAAGCAAATATATGGATATAGATCCGACAGTATGAAGATAAATATACTGAAAAAACAAACAAAAATCCTAATATGCGATTATGCTGTTTTAATCCACATAATAATAAAAAAAAATGTATGCAACTGTTTATCTCTTTTAAATATACACTTTTCTCTCGTTAGAACAACAATAATCTCTCCCTTATATATATATATATATATATATATATATATATATATATATATATATATATATATATATATATATATTCAATACTTTTTTATACACTTGAGTGTTGGTTCTTTTACAGGAAGTTTATTGAATCTTCGTCCAAATAGCTCTGATTAGACAACATATCATATCTAAATCTGCCGCAAGATTTAAGAAATTATCGAAACTTCTACCTGTAAATTGATTTTTTATATTCCTAATTGAAGGTTGTTCTTATCATCGAAGAGTTTAACTTTAGCCTTTTTTGCGCTCGGATCATTGTGTATAAATCACTCCAAACAAAGTCATAGGAAGTAGATTTCAAGACGAAAGCCTTGTTGATATCGAAAAAAAATAATGCGATTAAAGGAAAGGTTTTGCAGTGGAATTTAAAGTTTCAGTTCACTTCAAATATATTGGATTTGGAGCCGTTTCATTGATAAATAAAAAGAGACCTAAAAGAAACGGGCGGTACAAGGGGTGGGGGGACTAAAACGTTATCAATGTCTGATCAGAAATCAGATATTATTTTACATTTTTTAACTGGAAGGTTTTTTGCTAAGACGGAGAACTTTTAAGCAACCATTCGTAGATATATTGAGAGCAGTCAGGACGATGCACAACATAGATAGATAGATAGATAGATAGATAGATAGATAGATAGATAGATAATGGAGAGACTGTGATAGATAGATAGATAGATAGATAGATAGATAGATAGATAGATATGAACAGACTGAGATAGATAGATAGATAGATAGATAGATAGATAGATAGATAGATAGATAGATGTGTGTAGGCTGAGATACATACATACATACATAGATAGATAGATAGATAGATAGATAGATAGATAGATAGATCAAGATGTTATCGATCATTTGCTTTCTGTTGCTCTGTTAATCAAAGCTCTCCCTGTAGAACAATTCCTTCCTCTTCAGTTGCACTGTAAATCCAGTAGGTCAGCAGTTTACTGATTTGTTCATTAATCTTCATTAGTGGAATGTTAGGGAATCGTCCATCAAATTGTTGTTCCCCTCGGTTGATTAAATTTATTTCCGTATTTCCAGATGAATTTCCTGTTCAACGATATATATATATATATATATATATATATATATATATATATATATATATATATATATATATAAAAAGGTATGTGGCTGGGTGTGCATGTGTGAAAATGTACTCACAGTAAACATATGCACAGGGGCTGGATCAATATGTCTGACACCTGATATATATATATATATATATATATATATATATATATATAAATAAATCTAAAGAGCCAGACAAACCAACCTAGGTTTCACCCTACGCGGATCGTTTTTTACTTTACTCGTGTCGGAGTTTTTTTTATCTTTGGACTCTGAACTTAGATTCTAGACGATTATTTTCGCCGGAAGCACATATTCTTAGTTCTTTCTTTTTTTACACTTTTTTTCCCCTTGGGTATTGGTTTGTTCATTTACAAGCTAAAACACCTAATGTTTTTACGGACGAGTTTAGCCGCTTATATTTATAAGATTATTAATATTACATATAAATATAGGTAACATATTGATCCAGCCACTGTGCATATATATATATATATATATATATATATATATATATATATCAGGTGACAGACATTTTGATCCAGCCACTGTGCATATGTTTACACGATGGTGTCTAGCATGAAACAGTCTGTCGCCTCTAAGTGTTGACTTCAATGTCCATTTTTATATTTACACACGCTCTATCTCTGATATCGAGCACTTTATCCCATAAATATAGCTCACCTTAAGTCTATATTTCTTCATATATATATATATATATATATATATATATATATATATAGTGTGGATTTTGATCTGAATTATTCACTGTATAATCTTCCCCCTGTTTGGTTAATATTCACCACTGAATTAAATGCGTTAGCAAGGAAAGAGGTTGGGTTTGAAAGTATACTTGTTGTGTAAAATAATTGCATCTTTCATCCTTAGGTTGAGGTCATAAAGTTAATTACATAAATGAAGAGAGATTAAGAAGTGGCTGAAAAAGAAAGCTTGACATTATTTGTTGACCCGAAGATAGAAACGGGTCTTGATTGATAAGTATGATCTTCAATCATATGAAACAAGTTGAAAGCAGAGTTTAATGAAATTGCTACCAAGTTCAATTGCTAAACCTGAATGATATATATGCTTTCCGATTTTGTAAAACAAATTTAACACCATAGATAATAATGAAATTTCTATTAAAATAAATTCATTTCTCCTTTATATTATGAAGGTCGATTGATTACTAAGCTTTCCAATCGTATAAAACGACTTTGAATCCAAAGTGTATAATGAAACTGGTGTCCAAATTAAATCCAAAATGAATGTTATCGGTCTTGATCTGACATATCTTGTTTTATAACTTTACCCCACTGATGTAACATAATTTCTATAAATACTTTCATGGTTATCGTTCTGATAATATTTCTTTTCTGTAATCATTAAGGTTTGATGTTTAAAAGTTTTAATTTTATTACTGTTGCGTTGTCGTCCCTCTAAAGAGTTTATATTGAACTCTTCCGCCTACTATAAGATTAGTAGGAGAGAAGGCCTTGAGAGTCGAATAGATTGTTCAACTGTCAAACTCTCTGCTTCGAGCAGAGAGTAACCCGGACGAGGCTTTGTCGCAGGGCAAAGTTTCATCCGCGGAGGTAGACAGTCCCTGAACCCGTTTAGGCGGGTTCAAAGGGAATATTTTGGCCGAGCCTACGGGCTCGGAATAACCAACAATAAACCGACTTTGTGCCACATACACCCTCGTGGTGTTGGTGGGAGTGCTGTTAAATATTAACAGTCGAATAGATTGTTCATGTGTCGAACTCTCTGCCTCGAAAAGAGAGAAACCCGGACGAGGCTTTGCCGAAGGGCAAAGTTTCGTCCGGGGAGGTAGACAGGCCCTGAACCCGTTTATCCTGATTCAAAGGGAATACTTTTGGCCGAGCCTACGGGCTCTGAGAACCCACGTTAAACGCGGCCTTGTGATAGATTGAACGCTGGGATTACCGACACACACTCACTAGTCGCGTGATCCTCTTCTGTTGTACTTATTTTTTAATATATGATATATCTGAAAACCTGTTTTGTTATTTCTTAACCATTTACTTGTTCACAAAAATTATCCATCCCCACAATTAAATTGTACATATGGGAACTCGTTATGACTTCATAGAGGCTTTGATGTATTATGGTGGTTGTTGTAAGAATGGTATATAAGAAGGTTTTGTTTTGTTTTTTGTTTAAAGAATGGTATGATTGGGATAAGACAGATTGAAGACCAGCCTTCCCTTATCGCCCTTTTGGCCTAGCGCCATATTTTTGTATTTTCGAAATAAATATTACTTTAATCTTTGGCACCTCAACTTTACAAATTTAAGCGTAGTACTATATTGGAAGCAAAATGTCATCATTTTACAGGTGAAATTGTTTGATGCAACCTCATCTTCAATACTTAAAGTTTATTTTCTTGTACTTATATGTGAAACTTGCTTCCTAATCAACGTTGATCTTCAAAATTTAAATGCAATTTCAATCGTTTTCTTCTGTCTTCTTAGTTTTTATACTTTTATTGTTCTCTCTCCTTAATAATGTTTTCCTTTTTCTCATAATCTTTCACATTCAGTAACTCTTTGCATGTCAGTTACTTTGTTGCTTTCCTTAGAATGAATTGATTAAAAAAATTAATTTATCTTTAACATTATGTGGTTTGATTGAATATTAAGTACTCCAATCCTATGAAAGACCTTTCAAGTTTGAAATGCGTTTTTTTTATTATTAAATGTGACAATGAATTCGGGAAAGCGTATTGGAACAGTAAAATATGCCTTCCAGAAACTACAACAAAATAATAAATAGGAAAATTTCATTAGATACAAAGAAAATACTGCTGAACCGTCATGCAATGTATACTTTTGTTATGAAGGTGAAAGCGAGACACCTTCGTCACAGATGAAGAGAAGATTTCAAGGTTTTGCTTGGTTTTGTTTACGGCATATCAACCTCAATTTTTATTGCTACAAAAAACCTATTTCTGGTAATATTTTTTCTTCAAAAAATGTATCGCTGCTAATTTTTTTTCCCAAAATGTATAACTGGTAATATTTTTTTTTCAAAAATATATTGCTGGTAATAATGTATTGCTGGTAATGTATTCCTCAAAGATTTATTGCTGATAATTATTTCCAAAGAATTTCTTGTATTAAAACCGATTTTTTACACTTTCATAGTGAGTAATTCTGGTAATTTTTCCCTCCAAAATCTATTTCTGGTAACATTTTTCTTCAAAAATCTACTGCAGGTAATATTTTTCAAAAAATGTATTGCCGGTAATATTTTGCCTGTAATAATTCTCCTTTAAAAATGTATTGCTGGTAATAAATCTTCCTTCGTAAAAGCATTGCTCGTAATAATTTTTCCTACAAAAATGTATTGCTGATAATAATTTTTCCTTCAAAACTATATTGAAGGTAATAAATCTTTCTTCAAAAATGTATTGCTGGTAATAATTTTTTCCTCAACAATGTATTGATAGTAAAAATATTTTTCTCGATAATGTAAATGTTTAAAAAAAGGATTAAAAACTCCTGATCAGGTCCTTGCAGTTGGGCGTAGTTTATCGTATTACCCAGGACGCCTCATTTGGTAGGGGGTTTACCCCTCTGCAGAGGTGCAGTTGGCGTATTCTTATGCGCCAACCGACAGGGCCAGAATATTCCAAGTGACAGATGTAATGTTACAGAAGAATGCATAGAACACTATGGTATCAAGCCTTTGAGCTAGAAGGAATTTTTAAGGAAAAGCTAAATAAAAAAGGACATTTGTACTTAAAATCAGAGAGATACCGTTGAATTTTCTGGAATGCATGATGAGAAAAGTGGGCTTGGAAAATTTGACACTCACAGAAGATTTTTAAACCAAATGGTGCAGAAGGAATTATCAAGTAATTTATATAACCAACTTGTGTAAATGGACATCAAATGAGAGTGAATATTGCTTAGAACTACAATGGATAGGATGCTGTGGAGATCCATGACGACATATATATTCCTCATATCTTTTTTTTTTCAAAACAACCTCATTTACATTCGTTATTCCCCTGAACCTAAGCGTTATGTTCCTTTCTCTTTACATGACATCTATACCTAATTCATTTTACCGTCCCCCAGTAGCGCGTCTCTCGGACAGTGGTCACTCAAAGACGATCTAATAATCGGTTCTGGAGTTTCTTGAATAGTGAATAAATATCATGAATATCTGCTTCCTTTCAGACTGTCTTTAAAGACCACCTAGACTGACCGCTGCTGTTCTTTGTATTTGACCCCGAGAATCGTAAAGCACAAACGGTTATATTCATCGTACGGAAGCTGGCCATGAGATCGAAATTGACTGTCCAAGGATAATGAATAGCTTCTGCGAGCTTTCCCGAAACAAGAACAAATTTACAACAAATGCTGAGTCGATTTCCTCAAGTCTATACCCAAAGAAATCAGTGTTCACTGATCTTAAAATACTTGTTGAGATGGGCGATGTATAGCAAACAACTCATTTTCTTGTCGGAGAAGTAGTAATTGCATATCGTACGCCATCTACCAACTGTACAGTAACAACACTCGTCTAAAGCCGCATTACTCAGCGGTCAGTCTTTGAATGATAAAAGGTTAGAAATATCAGAAGTCAACAAAAACAACGTCTGGCTTCTGGCCTTAGCATCAGTTTTTTTTTTCTTAGTGAAGTGAATATCTACATATATTCATATAAAAATGCCATATTACATAACCATCTTCATCAGCCAGTTCTCGTCCAATGCTGGACAAATGTTTCTTTGCCAATTATTTCGTGAC